TTACAAAGAAAGTATGCCATAATCTATCAGACTACTTAATAAAAAAAATTTATGTTAAAACCGAATTAATTACAAGATTGATGTCTATATTTTTTTATTCTTATTTTTAAATAATTAACTCTTGCTAAGGATAATCGTCACTTATTGCTACCAGCGTTCATACAACATAATCGCTTTTCGACTGAATATTGCCATACAAAAAAAAATTAATGGATTTTACAATGCCTTTGTAGAACAAGAAAGATTCGAAACGACCTGCGCAAATTCAAAATCAACCTGTAAGCAATGGACTTCCAGCTACGCCTACTTGGCCTCATTTGAAATTCGAGTTTCTGCAACCAGAAAAGATAAGGGATATAAACAGAAAAACACCGAAGGATCCAGATTATGATCCCAAAACGATCCACGTCCCCACTGATTTCTTAAATAATCAAACTCCTGTAAGAAGAAGCTCCTGTCGTAAAATGCTTTGTTACCTATTAACATCGTTACAGTTATTCATTCTAAAATTTTGTTTAGGCGATGAGGCAATGGTGGGAATTAAAAAGTAAGCACTTTGACTGTGTATTTTTCTACAAAATTGGCAAATTCTACGAGTTGTATCACATGGATGCGGTTATCGGTGTCAATGAGCTTAGTCTTACGTACATGCGAGTAAGTCTATGTACATACTTAGGAAAATTGTCACAATTGCTCCTGAATTCATTATGTAACATTAAGTATTTTATTGTAGGGTGAATTTGCGCATTCCGGATTCCCTGAAATTGGATATGGTCGTTATTCGGCGAGTCTAATAGAGAGAGGATACAAAGTCGCACGAATTGAGCAAACTGAGAATCCAGAAATGATGGCGGCGCGTTGCAGCAAAAGTATGATATTGCACAGAAATATATATTTTGTTTCACGCAAATGAATACATTCGAAACATTGAGCATCTGTATCTTTTTGTTTGCAGTGGCTAGACCGACAAAATTCGATAAAGTCGTGAAGCGCGAAATTTGTCAAGTCAGTACTAGGGGTACAAGAGTGTATACTCCGTTAGACGTGGAAGCGTCTACACCAAACTCCAATTATCTGTTATCTCTGGTTGAAAAGTGTGATCTCGCTTCAACGATCAGTTCTTTTGGAGTATGCTTTATAGATACGACAATAGGTGAATTTTACCTTGGCCAGTTTGTCGATGATCGCTGCAATTCGAGACTATTGACTCTGCTGGCTCATCATCCACCGGTTCACGTACGAGATCATGATTTAAATATTACACACATTTACTGATAAACATGTATAAATGCTGACTTCTGCTTTGTCTCTTAGGTAATATATGAACGTGGTACCTTATCGCAAAAAACTTTGCAGCTTATAAACAACACTCTACCAGTGGCGCTAAAAGAACCGCTACAACGCGAGTCACAATTCTGGTCTGCTACAACTGTACTGAAAGTCAGTAACACAGATAATGCTTAGTATATTAAAATTCAAAATTGTTTAGATAAATTATTAGTATGTATTAAATATTCCTTGTTTGTCTTTTTAAAGAAACTTCACGAAGGCAGTTATTTCAAAAAGGAAAACGACTCGAGCTTCGCATGGCCTGAGGGTCTGAAACCCTACTTAAACGAAGGTAATTGATCATAATTTAACAAAATCTTTTTCTTTGTTTTTTCATATTTATGATAATGCGTGTGTAATATGAATTGTTTTTTGTTGTGCATCAGGAGATAGTTTGGGTTTAACGCCGGCAGATAATAAAGAATTGGCAATACACGCACTAGGAGGATGCGTGTATTTGCTGAAGGAGTTCCTACTCGAACAGCAATTATTAGCGCAAGGCTGTTTCAATACTTACACTCCGCCGGACTTTTCGGCCGCGAGCAGCCGCGCAGGTCTCAATTACGCAAACACCATGGTAATAGATGCTGTTACAATAAAAAATCTAAGGCTCTTCGGAGATGGTTCACTCATTGGTATATTAGACCGTTGCTGTACTGCGTTCGGTAAAAGGTAAATCTCGAATGTGCTATTTTTTATGTATATTCTATAAGCTAAATAAGCTAATATTCTAAAAAATATGTATTTTTAGATTGCTGCGCGAATGGATCTGCAGGCCATCTTGCCGCAAAAACGTTATTATAGAGCGCCAGGAAGCTGTACAGGAATTAGTGGATCGAATGGACGTGATGCAGTCGGCTCGCGCAATTTTGTCAACTCTACCAGATCTTGAAAGACTTTTGAGCAAGTAAGTTGAAAAAAATTACTGGCGATGATAAATTCCGCTTCAGCAAATCTAAAATATTAATGTAAACATATATATTTTTCATTTTAACAGAATACACGCTCAGGGAAATGCTGCTAGAATGAAAGATCATCCTGACGGTAGAGCCATAATGTTTGAGGGCCCCACATATTCAAAAAGGGTGATTGTAGATTTCACCACGACACTCGCTAAATTCGAAGAAGTGCTGAAATTCATCGAACTGTTTGATGGTATGTTCTTATTTTAATTTTTTACACGTATTATAAATTTTTATGTCTAATAATCTGCGTTTTACAGATTTTAAAAGTAGCTTGATAACTCGTTATACTCGGTACGAACCGGACGGTGAATTCCCCCAATTAAGGGAGACATTAGACTATTTTAAGGTAGCGCTTTCATTTTCAATTCCTCCGATTGTTTCTTTTCTTTTTTTACTTGACTTATCTGCGGCATTATAATAATTTCAGACCGCATTTGATCACGAAGAAGCTAAAAAGCAAGGCTATATTGTTCCGAAAAAGGGAGTAGATGCTGAATATGATTCAGTTTTAATTGAGCTCGCGGAGAATAAGAAAGATTTAGACAGATATTTGGAAAAACAAAAGCAACACTTCGGTGTAAAAATAACATTCCACGGAGCAGATAGAAAACGTTATCAAATCGAAGTTCCCGAATCGCAAGTTAAGAAAGTTGGCCCCGGGTACGAATTAACGTCGCAAAGAAAAGGCTTCAAACGTTATTATACCGCCGAGGCAAAGGTAAGAATAATAATTCACATTTTTTAATTTTAGAAAAACCTGTCAGTGTTTCTGTAGATATAAAAAAGAAAAAAATTGATCTTTATCATTGCAGGAGCTTTTGGCGAGACAAATGAATGCAGAAGAGCACAAGGATAAGGTGCTGAAGGATCTTAACCGGCGAATATTTGCGCAGTTCAGCGAAAAGTATGATATGTGGCACGCAGCCATTCACAAATTAGCCACCATGGATGTGCTCATCTCTCTCGCGGATTACGCGCGAAACGGTGATATGTGTATCCCGGAGATACACGACGGATCGGATGGTGAGGTGAGTATCTTTAGGGTAACAAATGTCATAGATTAATGATTACTCCTTTACCGGAACAACAACGACAATGAGCGCCATTCTTGTAGGTATTCATCAGGATAAAAGACGGAAAGCATCCCTGCATCACGTCTGACAATTTTATACCGAATGATACTTCCTTGGCAAACGACGATGCCGCCTCTTTCATGATTCTGACGGGTCCGAATATGGGAGGCAAATCGACCCTCATGCGCCAAGTGGGTCTGATCACGATCATGGCGCAAATAGTAAGTCTCGCAAGGAACATACACGCGAGTGCAACCAATTGGTTATTACGTCGATAAAACATGAAAACATGAATTTAATTTCCTTGCATAACTAGGGCAGCTACGTTCCAGCCAGCTCGTGCTGCATAACCCTGGTGGACCGTATTTTCACGCGACTGGGCGCGAACGACGACATTCTGGCCGGTCAGAGTACGTTCTTGGTCGAACTAAGTGAAACTGCTGCGATACTGCAACATGCTACGCCCTATTCGCTGGTTCTTGTCGACGAGTTGGGTAAGAACAAGCAGAAAACTACACGCGCATATCAATATATTCGAAACAAGCGCATCTATTACCGTCATAATGACTTTCTCGCAAGATTCTATTACTATATCGTGTTACTGCGTCTTTTAATCATCAAACTGCCACTTATTTTTTCCTTTAAATTGATAAAAAAATTGATAAAAAGTATTTCCTTACCACAGGACGCGGCACATCAACCTATGACGGTACAGCAATCGCGGCTGCGGTCGTTAATGCATTGACCAAGCTAAAGTGTCTCACATTGTTCTCAACGCATTACCATTCTTTGGTTGAGGATTACAAAACCAATAAAGAAGTCACGTTAGCTCATATGGTGAGATGCTTCGACATATTTAAATCTTTCGTATAGATCTTTCATTCAAAAGATAGAAAGTATTATAGTTATGCTACTAGTTCGTTACACATATATATTAATCATGTACGTATTCTTAAGAAGTTTATGAACTACTTTACGATGCATTTTTAATTTTCAGGCATGCATGGTGGAAACGGAGGAGGAGGAAGTGTCACAAGAGACCGTGAAGTTTTTGTACAGGCTCAGCGAAGGGGCATGTCCAAAGTCTTACGGATTCAATGTCGCTCGACTAGCAGGCGTATCTTCTATAATCACAAAAAGAGCGCACGAGATAGCTAGGAGGATGGAGCAGGAAACTAATCACAAGCACATCTTTAATGCTCTTTGCAAAGCCAACGGTGCCGGAATAAGAAGTCTCATTGCTACCATTTAATATATCAAATATTACGTCGAACACTCGTATAATCATTTTTTGAGAAACTATGTGGGAAAAAAATGATCACTTTGCAGTTGGATTTGTAACTTGTACAAATGGTAAAAATGGGCATTATACTTACGTTGTCAGACACTTTCATATATATATCAAATTGCGTTCTAAATAACTTATCAAATTTTCAAATCTATATAATAACAGTATTCGTTTCATACAGGAATTTAATATATGTAAGTTTTTCATCCATCATCGTGTAAAAACAAAGCTATAATTATTTCTGTTTCTGCAAAGTTAATTGCTTAATGTTGTTCGTATGTATTAC